TATCTAAACACATGGTTACACACTTGTACACACAGCTGGCACAGGATATTCGTATAAGACACACTCATGTAAACACACTGTTACATACATGGTACAGCATACAAGTGGAATATACTCGTGTAAATATGTCACATACTTGCACGCCCACACAGCACATTCACCCACGCAGGACATGTATGTGTAAATATGGTTGTGCACATGCACATTTACACACTCCATCTCAACATCTTTACACATACACATGAACTGTGAGTGCACACATCCATTCCCATGGTCCTAGACATAGTCGCTCACATCTGTGCAAGCAGACACTCGCTCATCCTCACTTGCTCAACTGTACATGTACAGACATACACTTGCCCTCACAGCCACTCACCCTGCACAGCTGGGCAACTCGGGACACATTGAGAGGAGACTCAGGATTCTTGTCAGGATTGTCCTCCCGGAAGAAGTAATAGATCTTGTCATCGTAGGCCTGGTCTTGATGCACAATTGTGGCCTTGATGAACTGCGGGTCTGTGGGGACACAGGCCCTGTACCCCAAGAGGCTAAGGGCTCAGCAGTTGCACCCCACATCTGTTCATCCTCATACAAAGATGTCATGGGCTCAAGAGCAATGACTTCATGCCTGGGGACTGTGGGAAGGCCCCCAGGGGCCCCTATGTCACTTCTGCCTAATTGGCAGAGCCTTAATGAGGAGGGGGCTGGGCTGCCTGCAGGAGCCCAGCAGAGGGACTGAGCAGCAGGTCCAGCCTCCTCTGTACCTGTCCCCAGCACATGGCAGGCCTATCCTGCCTCCACACCTCTGTATCCAGGTTCCTCACTCTGGCTGCTCAGGCCTTTGTGGAACTCCCTCTTTCCTGGGTGGTCCCAGGGGAGCCTTCCCAAGAAACATCAAGACCCTACCCAGCCCCACCCTGGGCATCCACACCCTCATCCACCCAAAGCCAGGCCAAGCCGACTCACTCTGCATGACGGTATCACTGGTGTACAGCTCACTCTCACCCCGGATGCGACGGAATCGTGGAATCTTCCCATTGTACTCCTGCTTCCGGATGGTAGAGTACACCTCATCCCCTGGGGACACGGGGTGGGGGGGAAGGCACACAGCCCCTGCATATTCCTCTCAGCCGGCACTGGTCAAGGAGTCCACCATCCCTCCCAGCCTGCAGCAGCACCCCCAGGGACCCTGTCCCAGAACTGCCCTACCTTCAAACAGAACCAAGGAGTTCTCATCTGGGCTGAAGGGGGCGTAGCCTCTCATCTCGCCAAGTGGCACCACGGTGTCATTCACCTGAGGGAGCCCAAGGGGGCCAGATGGGCATACAATCTCATAGCCACTGCCCCCAGGAGTGCTGGTCTCCTCCCAAGACCCTACAACATCAGAGATCCTGCCAAGGAGAGGCCAGCCTCAGAGTGGGAGCTGACCAGACACATGGGTAAGGGCCTTCTCACCAGGTTCCAGCAGCTGGGCCGCCGGGCGTTGGTGCCACATGCCAGCAGCCCCTCGCTCCGCCTCTCCAAAAGCGTAATGTAGTTCTCACAGTCCTGCTAAAGTGGGGTAAAAGGAAAGACAGGCTAGGACCTTTAGTCCCAAGGAAGGGCTGGGTGTGAGTGGTGGCTTCCCAAGACAGACTAGAAAGGTACAGCTGACTGCATCTCCTCAGAACAGAGGCTACCAAAGCTGAGCATGGTGGCACACACTTGTAATCCCAGTACCTGGGAGACTAAGGCAGGAGGATCACAGTGAGCTCAAGGCCAGCCTAGGGTACATAATGAACCCCTGTCTCCAAAAACAAAGGCCACTAAAGAAGGTCCATAGGTACCCCTCAGTCTGGGGTGCCTAGGGCAGCAGAGCTTCCGCCCAAACTCTCAAGGTCACCTCCTAATCCCCAGGAGACCTGTCCCTTTTACACTCTTTCCCCAAACTCACCTGCTTATCTAGGCAAGACCCCTTCGTAGAGCTGATGTTGACCTAGGGGAGGGGAGAAGCATTAGTCCTCTTTGCATGGGCAAGGGGCCCCTACATGCTGTCCATTCAGCCTCAGGACAAGCCCTGCATGCAACAACCATTATTCTTATCCTCCAGAACAGCAATGGAGCTCAGAGAGTGTGAATGGATTTCCTAGGATCACATAAGCTGCTCAGTTTGGTTCTGGGAGCCAGAGTCCCACACTCTGCCGGGCTTCCCCTGCCCAAGCTACCCACTCAGCCAAGAGTATATATTCCCAGTTTTTCTCCATGTCACCCAACTCCCTGTTCCAGTTCCTTTAAGGAACCTCCCCTCAGAACCACTGGTGGGGATATGGAGGCAGAGGGTCCATTTTAGGAAGAGATACTGACCCCTTCCTGTTTCGTGTGGCCACTCATCACTCCCAGAGGGGAAAGAGAGGAGAAGTGGAAAGAGAGGCGCAGGGGCCTGGCTCACCGTGTGCACTGATGCGTTCTTGCCCTCGAGGAAGTCGAAGCGGTAGACCTTGCCTCGTCCACCCACCCAGACAGAGGGGCTGCCAGGCTCATGGAAAAGCACTGTGTGTGGCTCGGCCTGGCCAAAGTCCAGCCGGTCCTGCCCTGTGCGGCCTGGGGGAGAGGCAACGGGTGGAACATTGAGGCTGGGGCATACCAGCACCTGCTGGCAATTAATGCCTGACGCTCAGGGCACTGGGAAGCCACAGAGAGAAGGCTGGGGAGACTCAGAGAGCCACAGGTGGGAGAAGTTAGGAGCCCCTGGTGGAATCCAGCAACCTGCTGTCCTTACCTACACCCTGGCCCATCCCCTAAGAGGGCAGCCTCTCCCTCCCGGACAGTAAATGTGACCTAAGGGTGGGAGAGGTTTGGGGACCTCTGGGGAGAACAGATCTATCCCCCAAACACACACACTCACACACACGCATGCACACACAACTTGTGCAGGGCTGGGCTGGGTGGAAGGAACACTGCCCATCAGCTCTGCCCCAAAAGTGGCTCTCTTGTCGCAACACAGGACAAGCAGCCCCAGCCACTTGGGCCCTTCAGCAAGCAGCAGGGCTTCCCAGCACCTGCTTAGCACCCAGATGCCTGGGAATCAGTGCTCTGAACCCCAAGCCCTCCTTCAGGAGGCCCTTAATGGGCACTAATCATTCCTCCCATTTTCATAGCTAGGAAGACAGAGATTGAGGGAACATCCCAAAGGCACAGGGGAGGAGGTGGGTAGCTGGGCCCATGCTCAGGTCCAGAGCTGGACTCTTTCAGGACCCCCTCCTGCTTGCTTCACCCACTATGACGCTTGCCCTCCTAGGGGTGAGATCAGTTCTCCCTTCCTGGAAACTGGGACCTCAGCAGCCTGAGCCTCTCAGCAGAAGGGCTGACCAGGACAACTTTGCCCTCAAAAAAACTGCAACAACCACCTCTAGGGAGAAGCTGTCTCATCTCCGGTGACATTGCTAAGCTTGTCCTGGTTGCAGGACTAAATTACAAGGATAGGATAGCCTGTGGCTGTGCCCCTAGCAATCAGCCACAGCCAGCATCCTCCCACCTCTCGCCTCACCCAGAAACTTAGTTTGACCACTGTTTTTTCAGTTGCAGCAAACTCTGGGACAGCAAGTTTGGCAGTGACATTCAAGCAGGACACACTTCAGCCAAGACAGCAAAAAACAGCCATTTCTCAAGTTTGTTCCCAATCCCTCTTTCTGCCATCTGTACCATTCCTACTGATCCTACAAGGGACATGGGCAGCGGACTGCTGAACCACACAATCCCTGACCCACATTTTCATTCTCTCCTCAACAGGCATCTCTGTGAGGCCAAGCCATCCCCAGAAATGATCATAGGCACACTCTGCATCTCTGTTTTGGCCTGGCTTACTGTACAAAGGAGGAAACTAAGGCCCCTGGGAGACAAGTTTAGCCCAAGGTCATACTAGCAGACAGGACAGATGGGCTCATCCAGAATTGGTTCTCAGAAGCGTGGGGATGTGGGGGGATATGTCAGGATGGTCTGCCACAAAGAGTGTCAAGATCACTGCCCTCTGGTTGGCCTGGCCCAGGAGCTCAGGAACCCTGGTGCCCAAGGTTCCCTCCCACTAGCCTGAAGCTGCTGGTACCACGGGGGTGTGGAATGCGGGCAGATCTCTGGTGTTTTCATGCTCCAGCCACCTTGCAGCTGGGGTAAAATAGGAGTGCTGTGGTCAGCGGCCTGCAGACACACGATCCTCCTGACTCAGCTCTCAAGGTATTCCTCTCACCCGCAGCCCAGTCCAGCCGGGCATCCAGACAGCTCCCCCTCCCCCCACAGCCAGCCTGGCAGCCAGGAGAAGGGCCTCAGTCTGGAGATGCTGTATCTGGAGATGCTGGGCTGTGGCCTAAGACCCCAAGGTGAGACGCCTCTTCCCTCAGGCCATACAAGCCCCTTTCACCTGAACCAAGGCCACAGCCACAGCCCTGGGGTGAAGCAAGGCCAGTGCATTAACTACTCATGAGGAAAGGATGCAACTCAGGCTACTTGGAGGGAGCCAGGAGTAGGGCTCCCAATCTGTCAACAAGAGAAGGTCTTTCCATAGCTTTGCCTCGTCTGGATCTCTGCTTGATGGATAGAGCTGTGAAGGGATGAGGGGGGAGGTGGGAACTCGCCACAGCTTCTCTAGCACTTAGCACCCCACGTTGCACAGGTCATGGTGGGAGGGGACCGGAACCCTGGTGAAGGGAAGTTCTATGGAAACTCAGGGGCCAGGGAGGCCATGTCACTGGCCCAAGGGCACCCAGCGAGGATGATTTGGGTTTCTGGTACTCAGTAGCCCCAACAGAGGAGTCAGGCCAGACCCTGGAAAGCAAGGTCGGGAGGAAATCTGGCTCTACCCAGGAATCCAGTCTGAGGCCCGAGACCACCACACCACAGAAAGCTCCTATTGCTCCCTAAGCAAAGTAAAGAGCCCCGGGCAGCCCACAAGTATCTGCTAAGGACAGGAGGGAGGACAGTCCTGTGCAGGGCCACAAGCCTGTTCCTTACAAGGCTACAATGGAGGGCAGATAGGAGCCCAGGATCATCACCTCCCATGACCTCCAGGTCCCTGCCCCTCCCAGCTCTCTGCCTGTAGATTCATATGTGGGGGGGTGGCACCAGCTCGGGCCCAGGACAAGACCTTGGCCCACTCTCCACCCCAGCCCCAGCCTAGCTCCCGCACTGCCTGAGGCCCTCAAAGGGCCTGATTGTGCCCGGGAAGTGTCAGAGCGACAGCAACGCTATGAATACATGAAAGGGAGCTTTGTTCAGGACAGCAGGCGCGGGGGCTGGGGGCACAGGGGCAGGAGGGCTGCCTGGAAGTGAAGGGAGCAGCCCCAAGCCATTGTGGCCAGGACCCGTGGCCCTGTGAGATCAACACAGAGAGAACTGGACCAGGAGAAGGGGCAGCCTTCAAGGATCGGCCCCAGGCAGGGGCTGCACGTGGCTGGAGCCTGTTCTACAGAGGCTCAGGCCGAGGGAGCTTTCTCTTCACTGCCTTATGACCCCAGAGAGATGAGGAGAAAGACAAAGCTAGATAGGCCAGGAATGGGGTAGGACTGCAGGCAGGGGACACAGCCTGGGCAAAGGTGGAAAAGCAAATGCACAGCAGATTCTGAGGACAGAGGCCGTGAGAGGCCACTGAGCAGAGTCCTGGAAAGAAGAAAGGAAGGTGCCCCATGTGATGGGAGAGGGGAGGTGTGCCGCCCAAGGACACACTGACCCACTGGCCCAGCATCTCCCCCACTGCTCGCTCCCCGTGAGCAGGGCCAGCAGTGGGAATGCCTCCGCCTCCCCAGCACTCCCACCTCCTGGCTCCCCCTGCTTCCTATCCTGCATGTCTAAAAGGAGCACCGTCTGGCACCGTATCTCCCCCCTCACTCCCCGGCCTGACGCATTAGTGGCTGACTAAGTGGTAGCTAAAAGCTCCCAGAATAACCAGGGGTTCAAGAGAGGAGGGGGCTAGGGACACACAGGGAGGACATGGCCCCAAGGCACGCTGGGCACCAGAACACCCATCCCTACCTCATGTGATTCCAAGCCAATCCCAGCCCTGGTGGAGGAAAAGAGGCACACACAGGGTGCTGCACATCTAGACACGCTAAGGGCCCCTGGTCCCCACGTTCAAACAGTGGCTGAGCCCAAATGGCCCAGTCCAGCTCCAGCCAGATATGGGGTCAGAAGCATGGCCGGGCTATGGGAGGCGGTCCTGTGCAGACACAGCCCCTCAGCCGGGAAGCCTGTAGGGTTCTGGTCCAGCTGAACAGAATCAGGCCCTATTTTTCTTCCATCACTGTCCCGAAGCCACTGTGGCCCATTTGGACCCCTGTGGGGAGGGTTTTCTGAAAGCAGGCCCACCTGGTGGAACACTGTCCCTCTGCTTATTCACCCTGGGTGCTGCTGCCGTCTTGTTCCTGCCATCCCCATATCTCCCAGCTTGTGAAAAGAGGGCAGCTTGAGGGAGGATAGATGAGGACTGCTGTGCGCAAACAAGGGCTGGGCCCTGTGGTCTGGTCCGGCAGGACGGCCTTCCAGCCTGACCCACTGAACCCATGAGCCTTGAGCACCAACCTCAAGGAGCCCTTTGAAAATGGACAGAGAGAATGGTAGGAATGTGAGCCTCTCAGCAGGAAGTGCTCATGCCAAGCAGCCAAGCAACAGGGTACAAATCAGCCTCACTCTAGGGACCCATCTACAACCAGGCAGGAGCCTCTTCCCATAACTGTACCTCATTTCTTCGTTTGTTTTCGGTTTTTGGGGTTGTTTTGTTTTGTTTTGTTTTGTTGGGTTTTTTTGAGACAGGGTCTCACTATGTAGTTGAGACTGACCTGGAACTCACTATGTAGCCCAGGCTGGTCTCAAACTCACAGCAATCCTCCTGCCTCAGCCTCCCAAGTGCTGGGATTACAGGTGTGCACCACCACGCCTGGCTAACTGTACCTCATTTGGATTCATCAGGCCACTCTCATCATGCTTGGCAGAAAGAGCTGTGAAGGGACACGGGGGGCCTAGGAACTTGCCACAGCTTTTCTAGCCCTTGGCACCCCATGTCACGCAGGTCATAGTGGAAGGGAGGGGACCTGAACTCTGGTGAAGGGAGCATCACCTAGCTGTGGATAGGATACTAAGAGGCCAGAGAGTCTGTGTCACCAGCCCAAAGGCATCCAGCAAAGATGGCTCGGGGTTTCTGGTACTCATCACCACACTGCATCTCTCCAGAATTACATCCTAGACTCCTTAAGCCTCTGATTAGCAGAAAGTGGTATCCTCAGCCTCCCTGCTTCCCTGTGTCATCCCTCCCTTGCTCACTAGGTGCCAAGTTACTGACTTGACAACAGAAGGGAATCACCTGCTCACCCACCTTCTAGGTGAGGCCCAATCCCCCCCGCTGCACTAAGTCTCAAACCCAAAGGCATGATTAATGGCAGTGCCATAGCAGGGTGAAAAGAAACTTTTGTTGGCAACAGGCACCAGAAGCAATGGTTATACCAGCTCTGCCTCTTCTGATATGGCCAGGATAGAGGGCATGAGCAGCCACCTCCAGGGTGACACTGCCTGGTGTGAAGGATAGGGCATGGTTATTATCAGCATCCCGACAGGGCTCAGTTCCAACAGCTGCCTGGCAAGGTCAGGGCCTTGAGGTGGTGCTCTGCTCATGAAGGACGGAGTGGTCTGCCCACTTTATCAGCTACAGCACAGCAAGCTGCATGGCAGGTGGAGTGGGAGCAAGGTCAGCCACGAGTGGGAGGGAATGCAGGGCATGTGTGGCTCCAAGAAGCCTCCTGCTCCCTTTGGCAGCTGGGCAGCTGGCTGGCTGTGGTGCTAAGCCGGTGCCAGGCTTTCCTGAGCTCAGTTTCCTCTGACATGCATGGAGGGGCTGGGTTTTATGACCCACCATGATTCTTAGAACAAATAATAGCAGGTGAATTCAGGGGTGAATCCATGGGTCTTTTTGGGAAAGTGTGAGTCTGTGCATACTGTAGAAGCTGGAGCTTTCTGGAAGTGAGGGCAGCAGAAGCTGACATCTTCATCCGCCTCCTGAATAAGCCCCCTAAGCCCTGGGTCTGCACCCTTGTTTTATTGACAGGAAGACGAAGGCCCTTCCAAGCCACCAAGGCCTGGTGCCCTCCACATGGCCTTGCTGTGCTCAAAGGAACTGAAAAATTGGCTGGTGGGGAGGTCTTGGGGAGCAGGGGCAGTGTGAGAAGGGAGTTTTGAGGGAGATGAGTCGGGTTCACGGCCCAGGTGCGGAGGGAAGGTTGGCATGGAGCCTAGCTGGAGTGAGGAGACTCTGCACTCAAGCCCGGGAGGCAGGAAGCCCAGGGCCAGCAGCATGTCCTGTTTGACTTCTACCCGTTCTCTAGCCCAGCATGTTCCAAAAAACCCCAAAGTAAGCCCAAAGTCACCTGGTGGCCTCTTCAGAGCACAGGATAGGCATAAATAGAGGTCAGGAAGAGGGCAGAGGATGGCAGAGGTATAGCCACTCGCCCTGTGCAAAGGAAGGAAGCCAGGTGGAAGACTGCTGTGAAGCAGAAGGTTCCTGGACCTGGCCTTAGCCGGATCAGCAGGGGGACTGCACAAGGGCAGCTGGCCCGCACTGCCCACTAGGGAGAGCTGGCAGGGCCTGGGCTGTCAGGCCACATTCCATAGATGCCAAAGGAGGAAGAAGATGAGGAGGACAATACACTACCCCAACCCTTCCAAAACATCTTCCTGGTACCAGGCACTATTTCCAGTGATTTTTTTTCTTTTTTTCTTCTTTTTATTGAATTTATTGGTACATTTTAGATATACAGCACAGTTACATTCATTACTGGCATCCTGTACCTTTACATGATCCAGTGATTTTGAATACCCTGACTTAATCACCACTGATGGAGAAGGACAGTGACACAGCTGACAAGTGGAGCAGAGGGTGACACTAAAGCAGCCCAGCTCCGGGATCTGTCCTTAGAACACTGCTCTAGGATGGGCCCGTGAGGACTTTCAGACCAGCCCTTCCCACACAAAGGAGGCTACTTGGCCAAAAAAACCTGATCTCCACCCATGACACCCTGAGGCATGTGTATGAGTAAGGATGGGTGTGCAGGCCCGTAGGCAGCAGGAATCTGTGGGTGCAGCTAGGGTCATGGCCTGGAGTGCTGGTCAGCATGACTAATTAGAAAGCTAAGTCTAAGTCTCCTAATTTTCTGCCTCCATTGGAAAACAGTTTTCTGGAGCTGACCACAGGGATAGGCAGGGCCCTTTTACTGCATACCCACCCAAGTTCCCTCCCAGGAGCCCCAGCCAAAACACTCACCAAGAACCCAC